CGCAAACCGCACCAAAGAGGATGAAGATGCGTTTGACAAAGCCGTCCGCGTGTCGAACGAGAAGATCGTCGGCTGCACGTCGTTACCAAATATCGAAAACGGGTACCAAGAGTTTACCAATTATTTGGTCGGATCTACGGTGAGGCACGTCTGCAACGAAGGATTCAGATTATTGGGAAGGGAAAATGCGACGTGTGATGCGAACGGCACTTGGTCTGCAGCCGTGCCAACCTGCAATTCTGCTCTGACGATCTCATCACTAACCCTTTTCACCATCGGTTGCTTTCTGTCCGTGTGGATTGCAGTTTAGAAAGGTCGGTAATCACATCTGGAAAACAGGTGGCACGATAATGAACAGGCAATTCTTGAACGATCGAGAGGCAGATGGGGAATCCAAATGGACAGACCGCTCGAGCTTCGAGTGTGCATGGGTCAGCCTTTTTCACTTCTACCCATCTTATCGTCGATTTGCTGTCACTTCAACGTTCTGCTTCTCTTCTGTGTTATGCTGTGCCGTTCTGATGTCTCTGCATTTTTCTCCTGTTACCTTGTTTATTCCATCAGAAGAATGGCTTCATTATGGTTATGCTCGTATTAGGATGAAAGTTACATTATTTCGTCGGTACGTAATCGAGGCATATTCACAAGTATATCAAAATATGCATTTTCAGGAATAACCTTATTGTTTTGTATAGGAAAAAGCATCGTTGTACGTGACCGACAATCGAAGAGTTCTTTAGTACGAGAACGTAAGCGCACTATACCTTTTCCTTAAGGAGTTGACAAACTGCTTTAGGAGACTTGCAATAAGCTGGTGCGATGCCGAGACAGCGATGAGGCGTTCACAGCATAAGACGCGATTCCCCCATTCGGCCGCTAGATGGCGGGAGCCGTCCGGCCTTGCCCCTCACGGCCGATTGCATGGAGGAAGGGAGAGTAGGACCGGTCGTTCTTTCGAGGATGCTCGCAGGAAAGAAATGGGAGGTTTGGTCGTGCTCGCGTGAGGGAGGCGGACTGCGATGAGTGCGGCTTGCTCCTGTGTTTTTTCCTGTTCTTTCGCGGTTCCGTTTAATTCGACAGATGAATTCAGAAAAAAAAATAGTATGTGTGTTGATGAAATATGGTAACTGAAATGTTTGGAAACTGGGTTTGGATCATGCGCGCCGACGAATGGTCTAAGGGGGTAGGCGTGAGGAAAAATTCCTACTTTTTTCCTAAATTTTGATCATTAGATGGAATTCCATAGAACCAGACCGTAAGTTACATAGCAATCCACATTTCGCAGCTTCGAAGTATTCGAATAAGGGTAGGCTATGCAGAAAATGTCTTTACACTTCACACAACGATAAAAACGATAACGGGAAACACTATAAGATACGATGACACGTCCGCTCGTCGCGTTTTTCCCGTCACGTCCAACATATCTTTTTACTCTGCAGTCATTCACGATCAGTCCCATCGCCTCAAGTGTTCTCAAGAGCGCGCAATAGCCTCCGCCCTTATTCATCTGCCCTTATTCATCTACCCTTATTCATTTACCCTTATTCATTTACCCTTATTCATTTACACTTATTCATTCTGTAAGCCTTGAACTGAGCTAATAGTTTTATCCAAGGCCCAAACGTTCTCCTTAAAAATGTTGTGACCGTTCTGCATCCGTGAGGTAGGAAAACATTTCTTGGTGAATGCATAAAGATTTGTCCTCGCTGCCGAAAACTGTTTTTTTTTTTTCATCACATCTCATATTGCCGGCTTCCTCGTCTACGAAGAGGGATCCGGAGTCTCAGACCATCAGTAGCATCAGTTTCCTTGCTCGCACCTAAATGCTCTATCGCCTCCATCAATTGTTGTTATGTTACCAGTAAGGTAAGGTTCAATTCGAGTCCCAACTTACGAAATCGTTATGTTATCTCACTAATTAAACAGCGACACCTTGTTTAATTATGTCATTCATTAATGTTTGATATCGAGGTTATCATGAGCTCAATCGTCAGTGTTTGCCCTTTTATTATCATTTATGATTGCCAAACGTACTAATCGCATTCGATCCGATCGACCCAGTGTAGGGGCTTCATTATCGCGGCGGTATTTAGAGTGCATCTTGGAGTTTTCCGTACCATAACCATTATCAACGGGGATAGCATATTTAGTGCAGGAGCTAGTGTTAATTCTGTAGAATTTCACAATGGCCGGCATAAACACTTGGCTCACTAAACCCACGCTCGACAGAGCACACCAGACGCTGGATCCACACCCTTGCTCTAAACCTTAGCCACTATATTAGACCAAACTAATCAGCATGGAATCTCCAATGGGCGCATACCGTAGCTCTACTCGCATTTCCAAGTGCTTTTTTGCACTAAGCTCGACGGTGGACTGGAGCAAGGGAAATCGAGTCTCCTTATGGAGTGGAAGTGGCAAATGATCTCTCTCCGTGGCAGGAGCACTCCTAAGAATGAGCAGAAATGATTCATCTGGGAAACCCATCATCGGGTAATAAGTTTGAGGCCATAGCCGAAATTGAAATTGGATTGTACCGGCAAGTCGATGTGTATATTCATCCCACACACTTGAAACTCCAATCGATTTCGTGGTGTGGCAGTAGGAGCTAGTGAAGCAAATTTCATCGATCCTGCTTTTCATGACGATGATTGGTTGTTTCACTTCATTTTCCTTAAATTTTGGCGAAGTTGCTAAGTAATCCTCGAACCATTGCTCTTCAGGTGGTATCGTGTGTTTTTCGAGTACCCCACTCTGACTTATAGATCGCAGGGACTGGATGAGTCGAAGATAATAGCGGCCTTCACCTTGTTTGGCCCGTGTTGCCTAGCAATACGGCTTTGCAAGGTAACACCCTCCCCCCCTTCCCCCTCCCCCCTCCCCCCATATTCGCGATTGCATTCAGTCTGGGTTCGTCACATTTTTTGCGTTCCCTCCCTGCTCAACATTTACATCCGGTGAGTGGCCCATAAATATACTTTTCTGTTTTCGATTCCTCCATGCGGCACCCTCTCGTATATCGTCGTGGACCCACCCCCCTCCCACCTCTTCACTTTTTTCCTCATCGTGTCTGTTGCCTCAACCGCTCGCGGATGCTTCCATGCGCGTCCGTGTCGTGCACCGCCTCAGACGACGCGAATCCGAATGACAAAGCCCCAAGCAGTATGCAGAACAGCGTTCAGCACATGAGTGTTCATCGGCCTGCCCACGGGCATTCCCGGCTCGGGATCCACGCAGATTTCCGGACCATTTTTTTTTTCTATAACGGGCTTTCCGTCGCTTTCTTCCATTACTTTGGAGTGAGATTATTTTTCGTGATCGTGAGTACCAGGGAGGAACCATAACTGCGAGGTATGAGGGAAAATTCCAAGTTCATGAAATAAAATCATTTCATCATCACGAACTCCTTAGAAACGAGCACAATTCTATCATTCATACTGTGAAGCATAAATATACTGAAAATTTTCCAATATCGTGCTCGTCAAAAAATGCGTTGCCAGGTTCTTCCGAAGCAGCACGCCCACTTTGGGGTCATAAAGGGACGATGTTGAATTTCCACGTTGTGGCAACATTAAACTTTGACGGACGGCATAAAGTTTAGGCACGTGATGACATAACGAAATGAAACTCGTCAAGTTTATCTTAAGTGAATTCAGTCGGCAAGAAGGAATTAAATTGTGTTCTCAACAGTGTAGACAGAAATTCATACAGGAACAAATCGATATATCGATATGATAAAATACATATTCCCGTGGAAGTCTGTAACAGACGGCATACAAGAGACGCAATAAACTGGAAACCGATTCCCATAATTGCATTGTACCCATAAAACCGATACAATTGCTAGATCAGATCATTTAAAGCAACTCCGAACGTGAAGAGACGAGCGCATGATGCTGAACTTTCTTGCCTGCAAGGTTTCCCTCTCTTTCGAACGCGTCTGCTGATGGCATTTCGTATCGGTGGGGGGGTCGTGACGTCCTCGTGCGATTCCGAATGATTTCATATTTGTTGTCAGTTCGAGTGTACCGGTCGCGTTGCACGTTCGGAAATCGGTGGTTCTTCTATCTTCGCAGAGACGCAGAGATGGACGGCAGCGATGATTCCACTCCCGAAGCGGAGTCCGTTCCCGATCTGGACGACGACGAGGTGACGGACGCGGCGCTCGCATACCTCCGCGGATCCAAGACGATCTCGCGCGTCGACGAGCGTACCGTCCGGGACAACGTCGAGACGTGTCGAGGCATCGCCGGAAACGTCGCAGGCGGTCGATACGGAGACTGGTACGAGCGGTACGGACGCGAGAACTTCTCCTCCTCCGGCCACGCGTCCGCCTGGCTCTTCTTTCGCCTGCTCGATCCGAAACTCGTCCCGTGCCCGACGTGGGCCAGGTCGGTCGCCGTGCGCCTCTACGATCTGGATGACGACCAGCGGTGCGGAGATCCCAGCGACGGGTGCAAGTGTCTCGATACGCCGTGGGAAACGGAGGACTGTCGAGCCGTGCGGGCCGTTCGGTCGGTCCTTCGCATGCTCTCCGACGTCGTCGAGCGTCGTTCGTCGAGGGGGAAGCGGGACTGGCTCGAGGAGATCCAAGCGATGCGAGGCGGAGTGCTCTGTCGCCTTTGAGGTCGTCGTCGTGTCGTTTGTGTCAAGTTTTTTTCATTTGGATTCCAGAGTTTCACTCGATCGAAATGAAAGTCTCAAAATGGAATCGAGCCATTCGGGTTCTAAGGATGGTCCTTGCACGTCGTTCTACACGCCTAGGTGGTACGCGCAGCTTTCGTCTGAGTTCGGAGATTCCATGAAGCTCCATTATAGAAACCACCACTCAAACAGCTTGTTAATTTAAATTTTTTGTCCATTTTTTGTCCACCTTTCGCCCGCTTAACTCATTTCGAAGGTTAAGTCGGTTAAGGCAGGTGAGGTCACCATCCATGTGATAAAAGGTTTCTCGGCAAATATATTTTATACGGAAGTTCCGCTTTATTTTTCCATGAGCAATGCAAAGTGAGTATGAAATCGCGACAAAACTTATTCACTTCAAATTGTCTCATGCCTTTCTGCTTTGCCTCACTTAGTCGCATGCAATCGATCGCAGTGTGTGCGTTTGAGAAAACAGACAGCCTTCTTTGTATGTGGCCTTTGTTGCTTAGCAATTCGGATTTGCACGGTTACCCGACGTGATTCGCAGTTGCATGTAGTCTTGGCTTATCATTTTGTTCTGGGGGCGTCTCTCGCTTCTCAATTTTTATATATAGTAGGTGAATTTTTATTAAGATTGCCGCTTTCGTACGCTTTTCTTGATGCAATAGACCTTGATTATTAATTGTATTCCTTCCAAAATGAAAACGAAATCTTGACAGTTCGAGTAGGCAGCCCTACATCAATAAAATTAGAGACAATAACTCAAAAGAAAGCAAAAATGAGGCAGTCGGCGACTTTCTGTAGTCAGCTACCCTATATCCATCCGTGTTCGAGTGTGGTGTCAGCCACCCAAGGGTAAAGAATTAATCCCCCCCTACTCCGAAATATGCCACCCCTGTAGGTGGTATCTCCATGGTAGACTTTTTTTTTTCTTGAATCAGCAATCTAGCAGCTAATCGAGTACCAAGTTTCAGCCACTCACCATTTCTATAACATTGCTAGAATTAGCGACAGACTTCACTCACTCAGTCGCTAGAATCATCTGTATATATCATATATTTATGGTTCCATACATTTCCGGGTTAATATTATTATTAATTAGCTGTAACACTAATTGCGGTCACATACATAACACATAGAAAAAGAACCGTAAACACAAATTAAGGTTATACATTTGCATAGCTTGTGGTGCTGGCAGTAGAGTTTATCACTTGATGCACTTGACAATTTCTGGCACCTCACACACTTCCCTTCTGTTAATGAGTTCCGGTGATCATGAAGAGCTTCCTAATGCTCATAGTCTTTCTTGTCGTTCTTGTCAGGCCGACTCTCAGGTTTATCCTGACAGGCTCATGACTCCTATGTTCTGTTCGGCGCCAGGTTCCAGTCCTGATATGCTTTTGCGCACGTCTAAGTAGTCAAGGCATTAATTTTGAATTATATCGACTAATATCTCCTAAAAACTTACTTGAAATGAAAATCTAGAGCAATATGTTATTCTATTTGCACTCTGCAGCTGGCTGGCTTTTCTCCTATTTTCTTATAAGGAATTGCCTAAGATTCCAATGGGGATTCCATGGGATTTCTATGCGGTTCGTTTTTCTCGAGGTTATCCTAGCTTCTCATCAGACTAATCCTAGCAAGAAAAAGGCACACTTCAGAAATGTTGCCCTAAAATTCAATGCTTCCAGAAAGGTATCGACATAACGTGACAAACTTGACAATTGTTTGGGCGATAACAAGAAATATTGCTAAATGAAACTTCTCCATAAAAGAAATATGTGCTTCAACTGTAATTTGGCATCAGTGTTATTTTCAAGGTGAAAGATCGCTCGGACAAGTAAACGTACTCAAATGTCATTAAGATATCAAGAAAATCTTTTTTAAGTCACTTAACATTTCAGATGGATTAGCTAGATTCAGGTCCTAGAGTGATGGTAGACGATAACAAGATGGATAGCAGTCTTGCAATAAGCACGACCGACCGTGGTCACCAAATCACGAAATCGTAAGTGAAACACCGTGAAACGATTTTAAATACTGGGGAAACAAATACTGGGGGGAAATACTGGGGAATAAAAATACTGAGAAAAAATACTGAGGGGAAATAATGAAGGAAAAATATTGGGGGAAAATAACTGGGGAAAAATACTGGGAAAAAAATATCGGGAATCGGCTGAATGTTCTGCCTATTTGCCTATTTGAGGATTTTAAGAATGGCGAAAGAAAGGGACAAGTTCTAATGTATTCTTTGCGGACCCAAAAGCATTTCCTGCAAAAATTCAGGCGATGTGTGGAAGTAGTCTCGCCTGCTACTTCGACTACAATGCAACAGGGAGTGTGGAATTCGCAAACCGCACCAACATTTTTCTGAAGTGTCACCTCTGTGATAGGTAAACGGTGATATAAAATTAACGTATATTTTACATAAAATTTACATTCCCGTTTGCATTCCAAAGAGCATTTTTATATTCATTTTATGTAAGATTTATATTAATTTTCCATTAGCAAATCATTTGTATTTAACGATACCATACTTTCCTTTCCATACTTCTAGGGTCATTGGACAAGTACTCATTCTCATCCGCACTCAAGAGAACCAAAATGACTTACTGCTTCCTCCTCCCGTACCGGAACCCTGAAAGAAGTGGATATTCAGGGGAGCACTTCTCCATATCGGATGGAGAAGGTGTGGCACGTGTTGGGCTGGGATTCTACTCCTCCATAATCCCGTGCACTGCTGTAATAAAAATGCCTAACTTCAGCATTTAATGATTCCCTGAGTCATATATTATAAAAAATATTTAATCATTTCATATTTTCCATATATATATTCATGGATTGCATAATGAAAAGTAGAATGTTGGTAAGAAAACCCGATACTGTATCAGGAAAGCCAGTACTTATTAGTATTAGTAGGATGCAAGGAACAAGGGTTCCATCTAGTGAGGAATCTTCGTACTGCAACTGCCGGATGGTCAGCTAAAGTTTCATATGGGCGGTGTGGTGTTAATTTTGTATAAACTTGATATCATGTCAGGAGGTGTGACCTCTAGATCATGTAAAATACACGTACACTTTGGTGACGTAAATATTGGAACGTAAATTTTACGTAAACGTAATGTCAATTTCAAGGCAATCGCAAAAAAAATTCTACTTGTAATTCTATCAGAAGCTGTAAAGCACCTCCATACCCTCAGGTTAACTCAGGCTAAAAGTGCAATTCATTTTGGACCAATGTTTCTCTTTCAACATTCACCAGGCCATGTGGTGTCACTTTTGGACCTCAGGCCGTAATTTCTTAATGAAATGCCTGAAGCTGCAAGAAAGGCTCTCCGATTTGAACAGGCAATCGAAGGTATTCTATCGAGGATCAATCACATTGGAAATATGATTGAAAAGTGCAACTGATGTCCATGGAGAAATTTCCCAAAGGGCCTGGAGAAGTCTACTCTATTCGATCAAGATTTTTAACCAGAAAAAGAAAGTTGTGCTCATGACGTGATGCGTGCAATGAAGCCAGAAACAACTTAATCTTCTCCGAATTTCATTTAATTTCATGCAGAACCAAATGGAAATCATAAACTGAACACACCACTGTTAGCACCCCACTCATCCTCCAAACACGCACACGAATGAGCGCTTCCATCGATTGCAGATTGTGACCCCGATGAGCATGGTTCTTTAAAACCCTCTGATGAAGGGTGTCCTCTGGAGTCTGAGCTTCCTTTCTCCCTTTTCCTCGACCATGGTACTACGAATTCAATCCGAAAATTAATTTGCGGGTGCACCACTTGATTCCAGATGATCGGCTAAAAAAGCCGGATAGCCCGAATGCACAAGCCTCATTTAGAGGAGATAACGGGACCTTTTAGCGAATGAGCTATTTTTCTCCCATTGGAATCCACGTGTTCTTAAAGGACTGTTAACTATCGGATATGACCTCACTGACGATACGTGTTGCACCACCAACGCACCAAACGGAATACAAACACCGTATGAGACTGGACTCGTAAAATGAATAAAATGAAGTGAGTGGTTACATGAGAATCCCTTCGAAACCCTCACGCTCGCACGGGTCGGGGGGAAGGTGAAGCGGCAAGGAGGCCATGCCCAGGCCCTGCAGTCAGGCGGTTGCGCGTGAATCCCTCGACTGTCAATGCATTGCCCCGAGGGTTCAAGGGGGAGGGGGGGGGGGGAAGGGGGCCTTCCTCGGCACGATGAAGTGGAAGACGGAGGTTGACGCGCGTCTAGACGATGCGTAACGACTCAAACCACCCTCGGCTATAGACGCACTTCCTTTTTGCAAACGCTTTTCAGGCGACCCGGTACGATCGGGAAGCGAGAGATATGTACCGAAAATCCAGTTGATGTTTTTTTTTTCTTGAGAAAAATAAATTTAAATGTAAAAATTGAGAGAACTATATCATCTCGATTTAGCGATTTCTCTCAGTGCCTTTTTATGAGGAGGGATCCGAAGGGTCAGACCGATAGCATCAGTTTCCTCGCTCGCACCAAATTGCTCCATTACCTCCATCATTTGTTATGTTACCTGTATGGTAAGGTGCAATTCGAGCCTCTACTTATGAAATGATGATGTTACATCAGCAACCATTACAGTGACACATTGGTCGTATCATGCATTATTGCTGGATATCGATGTCATCGTGACCTCAATCGTCGATATTTGCCCTTTTATTATCCTTTATGATGCGGAGGTCCTAATCGCATTCGATCCGATCGACCCCCCCCCCCCCCCCCCCCCCCCCGTACCTGTTTGCTTTCCTGTCTCGGTTCTGGTCGTAGACTGAAGTATATGAACCGAGACTCTCGAGCGCAGGGAGGCAGACCTATGCTGTACACGGTGGCAAAGCGTCTTATCATCTTTGTGGGACATCTCGACTTCCGAGAGACGCCGCGGGCTTGACTCATGGGGGTCATGTGGTCGTTCGTATTTATTTGCGTTCTTCCAATTGCGCTTCCATTCATGCGTTTTTTGGTCCAATCACTCGTTCCATCATTCTCCTGTTTCTCCGCCGAATCTCACGGCTGCTTGTTTCCTCCGTCATCTTAGAAAGACTCTTGGAAGTTTTCTTTCTAAAATCCCCCATTATGTCTCCTTCGCGTCCAAATCGCTTTCGATGTGAAGACGGAATTTTGTCAGCTGCCTTTCGTGTCAGAGCCACAAAATCGCGCGTCAAGAGGTGAATCTGCATCGAAAGGTCATCATAGATGTCGCTAGCATCACCAGAAAATACGGACGAAAGATGTGTTCCGTTCCTCGAATATTTCCTTTCGACAGAGAACCTCTTTCAAGACTTTTTCAGTGAATAAAATAAAAAAGGTCAAGGTCATGTATTAAGTGGTTATTACCACGTGAATATTTGACCGGTTTGGAGATCATCGATGATGGACGATTTTCTGCTTTTCGTATGCGGCTGAGAAATCTCACATTTTAAAACCCTTCACTGCGAGTTTCTCTAAACCGTTGCCACTCCATTAGACCCAATTAATAAATACGGAATCTCTAGTTGGCGCATACCCTAGCTCCATTCGTATTTCGATGTGGTTTATCGCACAGAGCCCGACTGTGGACTGGAGCAAGGGAAATCGATACGGATGGAGTCTCCCTATGGAGCGAGAGGCAAATTATCATACAGAATTATTTGCTTCTCTGTGGCAGGAAGACTCCTCATGATGGGCAGAAATGCTTCGTCTGTGAAAATCTTCATCGGGCAATTGGTCTGACCCCATAGCCGCCATTGAAATATGATCTTTTCGGTAAGTTTTCTCCGTGAATATTCATCCAACACACCTGAAACTCCAACTGTTTTCACGGTGTGCCAGTAGGAGCTAGTGAAGCAAATTTCATGAAGATCGGTGAACTCCTTTTTGGTCCTGTTTTTTTTTTCGATGGGAAGATATACAGGGTGTCCATAAAGTGACTAAGGGCAACTTTTTTCCTACCGAATCTGGGGAACTAACTTTTTAATATTTGTAGGCTGTTTATCATTCGCCCTCTGAATGACGTCACATCTGTTGTTCCTACACTCTAACGCGACTGAGAATTCATTTCCCAAACCCTTGTTCCAATTAAAAGTTCGGACATATGGAGCGAAGCAATCCAAATTGTCAGCCAAGACAAATGACCGTCACAATCTCCGGATTTTGACCCAATCTGAATTTTTTTTCTCTCGGGCTTCTCAAAAGGCTTTTTTCTAACAACAAGCCCACAGATCAGAAATTTTTTAAAAGCTCTTGTGCTACCTTCTAGAAAATTAATGGAATGATCATTGATGTTGCCGAGAATGCAATTGCCAAAGCTCAGAAATGTCTGGAAATCGGCGGTCATTGCGCCAATTTGTCGAGAGAACTCCTGTTTCGTGATTTTAAATCTCCGAAATGATCTTTTATTATTCCCAAGTCGAGATACCTTCAAGAAGTTGTTGCAACAAGGTCGAACGACGAAATTTCCCTTGAAATGTTTTCTGAATATCTTCCTCATAAAAATGAATATAAAAAAAAAACGAAAACGCCAGATGCGGGTAATTAATTCTCGGCCATGCCAAAGTGGAGGAAAAGATCTGGCACTATTCCGAGATCGGTACGTTCTCAGTCCTCAAAATGAAAAAATGGCTACCTCAAGGTCTATAATAAGAAAGTGGCCATTAGGTACTCACTTTATGGACTTCGCATCATTTCATTTTCATCAAGTTTTGGAGAAGTTATAAATAAATCCTTGACCACTTACGACCAGGTCGTATTATGTGCTTTTCCCGTACTCTGACTTATAGATCGCATGGACTTGATGCTTCTAAGATAATTGCGCCCTTCACCTTGTTTGGCCCGTGTTGCCTAGCAATACGGCTCGCAACATAACCCCCTCCCCCCCTACCCCCACGATTCTCGATAGCATTCGGTCTGGGCTCGTCACACTGTTTCATAGGTATCCCTCTCTGCTCGAACTTTACATCTGGTCGGTGAGTGTCGCACAAATTTCCGTTTGTTTCCAATCCCTCCATGCCCTTGGGTGCTTCATCGTGTTTACTGCCGACCACCTTTTCGCCATTGCGTCTGTCGATTCTGTCGCATGTTGGCTCCGATTGGACGGGTTTTTGCGCGAGTCTGAGCGTGCGTCCCCGAGGAAGACGGGAATCCGAGTGATAAAACCGACGCAGAGTCTCATTCGTCAGGTATTCACGCATATGCTCCCACCAATTTTTTTTTGTCAATGACAGGCTTTCCGTCGATTTATTAAATTACTTTGGAGAGAGATTGCTCTCTCGTGATCACGAGTACCAGGGAGGAGACCAAAGTTAAGGGCCGCGAACGGGAGAAAAATGTATAAAATCATGAAAAAAATTCCTTCTCACGCTCGTAGAAAAATGTTTTGATATATTCCAAGCAGCACGCCCGCTTTGGGCCGACATAGAGACGATGATGGATTTCCACACGCGCGACGTGAACCAAAACTTTATCCCGTTCTGCTCGTATGCTAAATAATTAGCACGTGGAAGAAGCCTCGAGCGAGTCCCAATATTTGTTCCCGGGAGTTTTTTATTTGTTTGTTATTTGTTCCACTGGGTCGCGCTGCGAAGAGTCCGCAGGGGGGAATTCCCTTCTTCGATCGTCTCCGGGAAAATTCCGCAGGGGAAACCATTATCGCTGTTTCCCCTGTTCTTTTTTTTTCATCACGTTCTATTTAACCTATTTGAGCAATTGCATGTAGGAATTCGAGTGTCTTCCTTTAGGCTATCCGGTAAAATCCGGTAAAATCCGGTTCAGCATGAAAATCATTTGGGACTTGGGAGTCAATCGCTCTTTGATACCACTGGAATAGGTGCAACTTAGGCGCCATCTCGCCTCGTTTCTATAAACTCTGTTTTTCGCATACCTCAGGGAGATGGTTCGTCCACAGATGGGACAAATGTTGCCGACCTCACCAGCGCCAAAGTGGGGCCGAATCGGGATCGAATACGGGCAGCTCGTGCCGGCAGTACTACGAGGAACGGCCGTCGCACTCCAATATCGGCTTCGTTCCGCCCGTGTCCGCGAAAGTGCATGGGGATCCGCACTTCACGACTTTCGATTTACTAGACTACGTGTTTAACGGATACGGGGAATACTGGCTCGTCCGAAGCGACCGATGCTCCGTCCAGATCAGGATGGTTCCGTGGAACATGTTGAGAATAGGACAAAATTCTAGGGCTACTGTGATTTCGGCGATCGTTTTCGAGTGCAAAAATTGCCCGATTTTCCAAGTTCAGCCGTCGGTGAATGGAGACGATATGGAACTCTTGCTGGATGGCTCTCCGTTTGCTTTCGACGAGGACTTATCCGAAGTCTATATCGATCCTGTGCTCATCTCGAGCCGGCAAAACCAAATTCGTGTCAGTTTCTTCGACATCTGGAAGTGCAACTCAACACGCGTTCCTCGGTAGTGTAACAAACCGAGCCGACCGTTGAGCAGACGCCCTTGCGAAGCTCCTAACGACCCCTTGCCGCTGCCGCTAGGCTTCTTGCTGAACTTCTGACCGAACGGGACGGTTCTCCTGGGACCCGATGGCCTCTACGAGATTCATCACGAGTTCGGAGAGAAGTGGAGAATACTGTCAAACGAGTCCTTCTTCGCCTACAGA